AATCTCAGGAAATGTATTCAATCAGATTACAAAGATCTTTGTACGATTTAAAGCAATATGGGCGCATGTGGTATAATCGCCTTAGTGAATATTTGTTGAAAGAAAGTTACATAAATGATGTTATTTATCCATGTATTTTTATAAAGAAAATGGCATCAGAATTTGTTATACTTGCTGTTTATGTTGATGACATAAATTTTGTTGGAACTCCAGAAGAGCTCCAAAAGGCAATTGAATATCTTAAGAAAGAATTTGAGATGAAAGATCTTGGAAAGACAAAACTTTGTCTTGGTCTGCAAATTCAACATTTAGCATACGTGATATTTATCTATCAATCTGCCTATACATAAAGGGTCTTAAAACCCTTTTACATGGATAAAGCGCACCCATTGAGTACACCAATGATTGTTCGACCACTTGAAGTGAATAAGGACCCGTTCCGACCTCCAGAAGAGGATGAGGAACTCCTTGGTCCCGAAACACCCTATCTGTGCAATTGGTGCACTTATGAATCTTGCTAATGCTACAAGGCCTGACATAGCATTTTCTGTTAATTTACTAGTAAAATATAACTTTTCTCCTACACGAAGACATTGAATGTGATTAAGCATATATTGCGATATTTAAAGGGAACTCTTGATATGAGTTTGTTTTATGCTAATAAAGGTAGTGCAGATCTTGTTGATTATGCAGATGCAAGTTATTTATCTGATCCATATAAAGCTCGATCTCAAATCGGGTACGTGTTTACATGTGGAGATACTATCATATCATGGCGCTCTACAAATCAATCTATTGTTGCTACTTCTTCAAATCATGCTGAGATAATAGCTATTCATGAAGCATGTGGGGAATGCGTATGGTTGAGATCAGTGATTCATTTCATTCGAGAAAAATGTGGCTCGGAATGTGATAAAAGATCCACAATTTTATACGAAGACAATGATGCATGCATAACCCAATGAAAGAGAGGATTTATAAAAGGAGATAGAATGAAGCACATTTCACCAAAATTATTCTACACATGATCTTCAGAAAAATGGTGACATTGGTGCAATAAATCCGTTCAAGTGACAATCCGGCAGATTTGTTCACTAAGTCTTTGCCAACTTCAACTTTTGAGAAGATGGTATACAAGATTGGAATGCGGAGACTCAAATATTTGAAATAAGGTTTTCATCAGGGGGAGTAAAATACGCATTGTACTCTTTTTTCCTTACTAAGGTTTTTTTCTATGGTGTTTTTCTTGTAAGATTTTTAATGAGGCATCTAGAAATGTATATTACTAAATATGTGTACTCTTTTTCCTTTACTAGGTTTTTTCCCACTGGATTTTTTCTAATAAGGTTTTAACGAGGTACATTATCTTTTAATGAACATCCAAGGGGGAATGTTATGAAAATATTATATTGTGGATATCCATTCATTACTCCGCTATAGATAATCTTCCTAAAGAAGATTATCCGTTTAGTACTCTGTTGAAATTTATTTACAAGCAGCTGATGCAGGCAGGTTGCAAGCAACTCAATGAAATGATTTGCAGCAGCTTCTTATTAAACAGGCAGGTTGCAAGCAGCTCATGCAGACAACTTACAAGCAACTGATGCAGACAGGTTGCAAGAAACTTAATGAAATGATTTGTAGCAGTTTCTTATTAATCAGGCAGGTTGCAAGCAGTTCATGCAGACAACTTACAAGCAACTAAAGAAAAGCCTCGCAGCTGCTTCCTTTCTTCTATAAATAGAGGATTTTTCAGTTCATTATGAACATAACTTTGAAAGTTGAATAAAATATCAATCTCCCTCTATACTTGTCTTCAGTTTATTTCTTTTATAGTCTTTATTTTATAACACAACAAATTTTGCAAGGCATTTTCAACTTTATTCTATTACTTCTTTTTGGTAATTTATTCTTTTACTTTACCAGCTTTATTAATATTCATTTTTCAAGAGTGACTGTTAGATAAAGATAAAAAAAAATTGGAGATGGAATGTCTTTGGGAGAGAATACAGAAGGAACTGCGCAATTTAGCTAAAACATAAAATAATCTCTCTATCAAATAATTGATTCACAAATTTATATTAATTCTTCGAAAATTCATTTAAAATAAAACCGATCATCTTATTCCCAAGAGAAATGAAGTCAGGTTATTTTAAGATGATAAGCATGTATCTTTGCTATAGGTTCAACCGAAGATCTAATTTCAACGACTTTCTATTAAAGTATTACGTTTAAAACTTCAAGATCTTACCTTTTTTTCTTTGGATCTAGATTTTAGATCTTTCCCAATGCAATTATAAACAATACTCGTAGTGACAATCATGCCTATGCCTCGACCGTTAATAGCAAGACAGAATCTACACATATGATAGTAAAAACTGATGGTATTTATTTAGATGTAAATTGAATACTGAATGTATTTTGTTTAGACAATATATAGGGCAACTATTATTTAAAGGATACACCTAGTTTTTGTGAAAATCTGTTCTATAAACTTTAAGGGCTCGTTTGGTACGAAGGGTAAGGAATAATTAATCACGAGATTAAATTTAAGAAAATTTATCTTATATTTGGTTGGGAGAAAATTATGGTATAATTAATCTCGAGATTAGTTATCCCGAAATTGTAGTGTTTTTCATCCCTATGAAAATATGAAATAATTAATTCCGAGATAATTAATCATATGATAACTTCTTTTCAACCAAACAACCCCTAAAAAGTATATTTTATTCGTGAGTGTTTGTATCTTGAAAGTCGGATATCGCTTTATTATTTATTCATGAATAGTAATGAAAATCTTTTATGAAGACAACATCTTCCATAGTGCGACTCGAAACAGTTTTTCCTATATGAAATTCTATCTTTATCTTTTATTCATGTTGTTACATCTTATTTATTTATTTATTTATTTATTAAGTATTCTTCTGATTAATACTTTCATCTCTATTATTTTTCAATAAAATTCTGCTCGTACCTGGTGATTACTGAAATGAGAATATATATTAATTAATCGTCATTGATTGAGAGAAGTGTATGTGAAACACATGTTATGTATTTATTGATTTAGTATAAACTCAGCACATGATATTTACGGTAAATAATGTACGCGTGACATATGTTTGTGCATACACTTGTAACACTTAATCATGATTAATTAATCTATATTCTCGTTGCATTAAGTCACTTAACCATGGTATGTCAGTATATTTGATTTAAACACTCCATCCTAGCGAGGTTTTTCCCTTACTTCCGACACATCCAGGAAACAGAGCACATTATAATACTCCAACTTCCATATTAGTTACCTAATAACTTAGCTTGTCATTTAAAAAGTGCAGTTTGAATTGAACGAAATAGAAAGCACATACTTAGCTTCACCGGAAGATTTGTAATTTGCTAAACTCAGAAAAGTGCACCTCTTTGCGACTTGTGCATTGTAAGGAAGGTTGATACACACGTTCATCACTCACCATACATGAGTTAAAAAGAATCATTACTCCTTTAGTGTTAAGGGTATAGTTGGAAACAACTAACAACTTTAACCTTAAAATCCAAAAGTGACAGTTATTATGAGATAATATTTTGAGCTAAAGCGACAATTAAAATGGGAGGGAGGGAGTATCTCGTTCATGTTTCCTCAATATTTTATGTTTTGTCATTCTATCTACACCAGACAAAATAAGTAATAGCTGATAGAGTTTATCATTATTCCCTAAAATACCTAAATGAAAGATCATAGCACTTCCTTTCATCTATCAGCAAAGTAGATCCCCCAATAGGGAAGTTAGATCGGCAAAAATTGTATTTTAACCATCCATACTTTGTCTCTTAGAAGTATTTTAATCTGCGAAATGTTCTCCTATATATGAAATCTTATCTGAAATCTGAATTGCCTCGACAAGGTTCTAGACCTGCGGAGGTTTGTGGCCCGTGAAACACTAAACGATTTTAACTAATCTTTTTGGACATATAAAGAAAATTGTATGTAACGACATACCAATGTTGGTGATTGCAAGGGGTCTATCGTGAAACTTGTTCAAGACAAATTTCATATCGGTATGGGGAGAAAGTTAGGAGCCATATAAAATGAGATCAGAAATTCAACTGTTGAGACACCTTTTGAGTTAAAACCTGATGACAAAACCACGAGTCCCTAAAGATTACAATATATCGACAATATAGTCGCCAAGTAAGAAATTATAGCAATTATACTTGAACTAACGAGCCATGCCATGCACACTCAAATCCCGGTGTTAAATTTTGTAATCGTCGTTCGTTGAGGAAAAATTGGTCAGTTGGGATAAAAAAGATTCATAATCTAATCAGAACAGTCCCTAGATGAGTATATTCTGTATTTGTCACTTTCATTGGATCCTAATTGGGAGTGAAATATTAGTCATAGACAAAGGCCAGGTTTAAACAAAACAAGGTTCCTATTTTGAATTAATTGTGAACAGACGACGCAGAGAAAGTATCACAATGCCTTCAAGAGACTACACCTAAGCAATGACACAAACTCAACTGGTGAACGCTAGAAATCGTACAGACTAACAAAGAAAGATACAGTTGGGATTTTGGATCAGCAAACTGTTCTAAGTGGCATAGATATTCAAAGTTTTGAAACCAAAACCGCCCATTGGAATTTAGGCCAAGGCAATTGATCTCCATCACTCACAGCCCCTGGTTTCTTCAAACCAACGAATTGCAGTTTAAGGAAATACCAACTACCGTACGTAAAGTTTCCAACATTACTTAAAAAAATGTAAACAAGTCCTAGTTGACCAGTAGAATACAGAGAAGAAAAAGAAAGGAATTTAGTGGCATGGAAGCATCCTATCAGGAAATATTTTTTTACCTAGAAACTCAAGTAAATAAAGCTTTATTTGTAAGACAAAATCGGCTGTAGATTGTCAAAACATAAAATAACAGCATAATCACATGGTTTTGATATGAAGTGAATTTGGACACATACTATTCCTTGCTCATCCCAATGCACCCAATAATTTCTCCTTCCAATGAGGTTACAACTGTTATTCAAATCTAATTGCTTGTTTTAACCAACCCCACCGGGTAAAAATATTTTACTCCTATGGCTATATATAGTCCGCCAAGTACCTTCTTTCCTTCATACTTAGAACAAGAATATGGAGATTCCGGTGATCGACTTTAGTAAGCTTGAAGGTGAGGATAGAAGTGCAACCATGGCACTTCTCCATCGCGCTTGTGAGAAATGGGGCTTCTTTATGGTAATGAATGTTGTACTTCTGCTTTTCTGACGTAGCACTTTTAAGATATTGATACTAACAGAAATGTTCAATTTATGCAGATAGAGAACCATGGAATTGACACTAACCTGATGGACAATGTGAAGCAGCTCGTGATTCAGCACTATGAAGCCAATATGAAGCAACGGTTCTATGAATCAGAGCTACCTATGAGCTTAGAGAAGAAAGAAAGCATCAGCAACACAGACTGGGAAAGCACCTTCTTTCTTTGGCATCGTCCAAGTTCTAACATCTATGAGATTGAAGGTCTTTCAAAGGATCTTTGGTAAGTAAACAACACCAGAGCGTAAAGCTTCAACACTTCAACAAATGAGCACACACACAACTTATATGTCATGCACTTAGAATAAGTCACTGACAATCTATCCGTGAAACAAGTCTTCTCTTAACATTATTGAATGTTACATCTGAACTATGAACATGTATATGTGCAGCAAAGCAGTAGATGGATACATTGATCAGTTGATCAAACTTGCAGAAAATCTTTCAGAACTTATGTGTGAGAATCTTGGCCTAGAAAAGAGTTACATTAAGGAAGCATTTTCAGGAAGCCAGGGTCCTTCTGTTGGAACAAAAGTGGCAATATATCCTCAATGTCCACGCCCTGAATTAGTCAGGGGATTGCGTGAGCACACAGATGCTGGTGGTATCATTCTCTTACTCCAAGACGAAAAAGTTCCTGGTCTGGAATTCTTCAAAGATGGACATTGGGTGAAAATTCCACCTTCCAAGAACAACAGAATTTTTGTAAACACTGGTGATCAAATCGAAATTTTAAGCAATGGGATGTACAAGAGCATTCAACACCGAGTGATGGCTGAAAAGGATGGGAACAGACTTTCCATTGCCACCTTTTACAACCCTGCAGGTGAGGCCATCATTTCTCCAGCATCAAAGCTCTTGTATCCCTGTCATCTCCGCTTTCAGGATTATTTGAATCTTTATTCCAAAACCAAGTTTGCGGAAAAAGGCCCCAGGTTTGAGTCCGCAAAAACATTGGCGAACGGGCACTGAAGTCTTCACATTGAAAAAAATAAGTTTATGCTATTGTTACTTATCATTTGAGTGCCCTCTTTTTCGTTTTTTCCTCTCTCTGTTTGGGCCTTCTTTGTGGTTATAGTTCAAGAGAAGCTAATGTATATAAGCTTCCTTTATCATGTAGATCTCGTTAAAAGTTTAAGGTCAAAGTTAGAATTGCTTTGAAAGGTCGTTATTTATAGAACAATGACCTTGCAGAAGAGCAAAAATAAGATGATAATATTTTGGTTGTATCAATGAAAGAAAAACAACTCCAGAGAGCATAACAATCTTTTACCTGTTGCCTTCTCTTAATTTTATCATCTAGCAAGAGATACAGCACCATATGCAGACTCACAGACAAATTCCTCCTGAAGACCCTTTGTCAACTCGGAATATTTTAAATTATTTATGTTAGTGTGAATCTGAGAAAAACCTTACACCTTCCTGAAAAAGATTTAAAGAACACAAAACTGGGGATGGGGAGAGAGAGAAAGAGTTTATAAGACTCTCTTTCACATGTCCTCCGTCCAACCGTTATGTTTGTCCACCTAATTGTTAGACATCCATCCTCAGTTTTATCAACCCACACAGGCCCAAGACAAGGAAGAACATCTCTCTTGTATTGCATGACATAAGGGTATTAATATCATTATAACTACAACCGGAAGAAACAACAATGTGATTCAGTAAAAAACTATTAAGAAATACCATCTGTATAAACAACCAGGTTAATTCCTATCAAACCTGTTGTAAAATTGTCATAGTAGCTACTTAAAGAAACTAAGTCCAAAAAATGGTCCAAGTTAAAGAACAATGATGTATTTACACAGCTCTTTGTTTAACAGGGTATAGAGACACTTACAAACTAGACAATTTTGACAACACAGATTTTGTCACCAGAGTATTAGTACGCTGAGTGGCTTCTGAGAGCAAAGATTTTTGAGACTTCGACAGAGGAGCACATTTGGTGACAAAACATAATAAAAAGTTTCCAAATTTCAAAGACTTTGAAAACCTGTCAGCAGATTCCCAAGCACACTGAACGAGTCTATCAACGGAGTCCTGAGTCAAATGAATGTTATGATTTAGGATATTTTGCATCAAATTAAATAATGACTCTGTCCATACCAATTTACTTCCAATTAAGCATTGATGACAGGGAAGGCAGATGGATTTCTTCAGATTGTCCTGGTCGCAGAGAAGTTTCCGGCAGAAGGCAGAAATATGGCCTGGGTGCAAAGATTCTTTAACTATCTTTGTTATTACATCACAAATAGGGCTATTTATGCCTTCCATTCTAAGAATCAGCGGCAATAGCAGCGCATACTCTGCAGCTCTCTGATGAACTTTACTGTACTCTATTGCTGCCGTTAGTGACGTACGAGAAGCTGGTTCTTTCAAAAGCAACAACTTGGGAAGAATGACAGCGCAAAGAACGTGACTGGGCCAACCAAGTTCATCTTCATTCCCATAGAGAAGATTGGACATTAACACTGCAGCTGTCTCATCATCAGCTCTCCAAGGTTCAATTATACTCAAAACAGCCAAAGACTTTCCCCCTCCTGTACAAAGCTGCCGAATTTCCCCTGCCAACTCCACAGCCTTAGCAGTAGACTGAAGAGACAACAACCGGTCTTTCAAGCGCCCAGCCATTTCTTCAACTTGAGGGTTCAAGTAGTCATCTACTTCCTCACTTACTTCATCAACCTCCTCCATTACGTCATCCATCAGTTGTCGTTTACCCTCTTCGAATTCACTCAAAGGATCATCATTTTCTCCACAACTACTAAACTGCATCGCCAAGTTGAATTGTTTCTGTGATATAGGCAGCCATGGAAGCATCAAATCACTGTCATTGGCAGCATCCTTAAGCCAATTGGGTAATGAACTAAATTCATCATCCACTTGTTCTTCTTCAGAATCCAAGTTCAAGCTAGTTACCCATTCATGGTTTGACCTAGACACTACGTCAAGCAGTTGATGTGCAGCCCGCTTTACCCAAAAATCAAGCTCTTTACCTTCTTTCAACATAGTTTCCGCAAGCTGACACAAGTCTCTTTCACAAAATCTCCGGCTATCATAAAGTAGAAATGATAAAATACGAGTTTGAACTGCATTTGGTAGAGTCTGTATCCACATAACCCTGCCAACACAAACACCAATTCATCTTTGTTCAATTTACATTAAATTAAACTGTTAAACAAGTAAACTTCAATTTTAAGCTCCAAAGGTAAAATCGAGTACAAAATTACCGTTTTGTGAGAGATGGGGAAGAGGAACCGGTGATGGTGATATCGGTAGGTTTGGTGAGGAGTGAAAGGAAGGAGGTTGTTGAAATGGTAGTGGGGCCAGATTGGTTGAAATATTGTTGTAACCATAGAGATGCTTCGGTTTCAGGACAAGGGGAGTTCAAGAATATCTGAAACAATGGTACCCAACATTCCATTTGCTGAAAAAAAAAGTCGGAGGGAGCCGCGCACACTGGAGATTCTGGCGAAAAAAGGGGCTATTTTTGGGTGTGAATATTCTTGATAACGTAAATACCCCCTCAGCTTCTAAACCCAACTCGTAACTCCATCATACAGGTATTAAAAGAGCTCATACAAAATGCGGGAATAAGTTTTAAACTTGCTGGAATTCCAGTTTTAAGTCTATAGATTGATCATACTTCTATTATAATTAAAACACAAATGTATGTGAGGATTATGTATCTACAAATATTGATATATATATAGTTGAGGTTTTTTTGTTTTTAAGATGAAATAGTCTTAAAATGAGGGTGAATGGGAAATTGAGGGAAAATAAATTTTTTGAGTAAAATTTTAAGTTTCCCCCTCTTGACAATGAGACATTGTCCCATATTGTAAGAGGAAAAGATTTTTGGTGGGTATATATATAATTGCTCTTCTTGTAGCTCTTAAAGAGTTAAGAAGAAAGCAAGCATCGCGCCGTCGTCGTCGTCGTCGCTCGGCTTCGGATCGATTGATTGATTAATTTTTTGGACCAAATTTATTTGTTAATAGTAAATATTAACGTAAGATTATCCGCATTTGTAACAGATATTTTTCAATCCGTGTATTGACCACAAGGCAGCCGCCTAATGCTCTTCCCACCATGAATGTGCTTGCTCCACAAACAAGCTAATGCTTGATCCACCATGGAGGGTGGACGATTGTTCTTCTTCAACACTGGTTGCTGTTGAAGAAAGACACACACAATACACAATACACAAGACTGAAATCGCTCAACTGATTTGGCTATACATTGCACTCCTTCCTCTCAGCATTTCCATACGATTTTCTGAGTTTCTACTCCTTCGTTCTGCATTGTTTTAACTTCAAANTTCAGTGGGCTCGAATTAATTACTGTTTCATTACGATAACTTATATTTTGCAGAATTATTATTTACAAATATAGCAATATTGGCGAAACTAACATTCTTAAGGAATTTAATATTTATTTCTATATTTGTGTTATTCTTATTATTCTGCAAACTAAAACCTTTGTGGTTTTGTGTACTCCCGTTTTGGAGAGTAAAGCCTTCGTGGCGGTTTGTTGGAGATTAAAATCTACGTGATTTTTACTCCAGTTTGAAAACGTGTAT